TTGCAGCTTCCGTTGTTTGGTGTAGAAATAATCCTGGCTTGATACTTATCCAGTTGACATATCATTTTTAATTATGCCGGATGCTGCTCGTTCCCTAGCTAGTTGGTAACGGTGATATTGGGGCTATTCTAGCCATGTGGTTACATATTGTAGTTGAATATAATGTTGTTGTTGCCGTTGATAAAAGTCCTGACATAAATAAATGCAAGTCTTTCTGAATGTAGAATTAGGGAACATTGAAGAAATCCCAGAGATCAAAATGTCACCACACCATTGGCTTTTTCATTAAATCTTTCAATCTATTATTTCTGAAAACTGCATCAGTTAATATTGGCATTGAAATCATGACGGAAGAACAGAGACAATATTTTACCACTGACTGAACTGAATTTGTTTGTGACTGACTATACACACGGTACAATGTGTAAGCAATCCGTTGTTTGAGAGAGATTCAAACCTGGAAACAAAAAACATCACATCACTGGGTCGCAAGCTCTTTAAGTTGTTGCATTCAACTAAGGGTTAACCTTTTTAAGAAGTTTCATTCAAATCCAAATGCTAGACTAATTGGTGTACACAGTTTTTGGATATATATATATATATATATATATTTATATACATATTGTTTTGCCAGGCTTCTGACACAGCGAATTAAACTCTGCACTCAGCAGCTCTGAAGTAGAAGGAAATCCCCACACTTTTCACTCATTCAAGTGGATTGAATGAACATAACACAAAAACATTAACTCTGTTTCTCCCTCCACAGATGCTGCCAGACCTGCTGAGTTTGTGCAGCATCTTGCTTTTATCTACCTAGTCAAGTAATCCAGTGCAATTATTACAGGGTATTTGCTTAGAATTTACATAAACAGGCCATCTGACACAATTAGCCTATGTCATTATTCATGCACTTTGCATAAGCTACCTTCCACCTTACTTCATTACTTTGTTTTTCATGATTTTTAATTGGCAAGACCAGCATCGATTTGTTGCTCATCTCACATTAAACTTGAAGTGATGGTGGTGAGGTGCCTTTTTGAAAGACTTGCAGTCCACTAAGTGTAGGTACACCCTCAGTGCTTGTTGGGAGTTCCAAGATTTTGACCCAGTGATAATGAAAGAAGAGTGACATATTTCCAAATCAGGACATTTATGGCTTGGACAAAAGCCTACAGTTAGCAAAATTCCAAAGTGTTGTCTTTGGTGGGAGAGCCTTGGGTTTGGAAGTATCATTGAAGGATGCTTGGTGAGTTACTAAAGTGAATCTTGTAGATGGTAAAGGGTGCCAAACAAGCAGGCTTTGACCTGGATGATGCCAAGCATCTTCAGTGTTGTTGAGTTACACTGATCTATATAATTGGAGAGTACTTCATCCCATTCCTGATTTGTGGCTTGGAAAAGGTAGACAGGCTTTGTGGAGTTGAGGTAACAAAGCTCTAGCCACAAAACTCCAGCATCTGACCTTCCCTTGAAATCACAGTATTTATATGCCTAGTCCAGTTAAGTTCAGAGTCAGTGGTAACCCCAGGATGTTGATAGGGATAATGCTGTTGAATATCAGGGGCATATGGTTAGATTTCTGTTTTGTTGATGATGGTACGTGTGTGGTGAGAATATTACTTGACACTTGTCAACTCAAGTCTGAATGCTGTCTGGGTCTAGCTTCATTTGGACACAGACTACTTCAGTACGAAGAATTGCTAATGAAAATTGTGCAATCAGCAGCAAACTCTCTCATTTCCATTCAATGATGGAGGAAAGGTCATTGATGATGTAGTTTGGATGATTGGATTGAGGACACTACAGCTGAAATAAACAGACTTCCAACAACCACAACCATTTTCTGGTGCTAGGCATGATGGTATGATCGAAGTACGGAACCATAAACAAAAATAACCACATTTATTAAACATGCCCTGAAGAAATGACCTAGTTTTCACTTTTTGCCCATTTTGCTTTAATGGGAATCAGAAGCAATGCAAATTTCACATGAATTACAGGCAAATAAAATCTCAATTAAGGGTAAATTTCATTTTAGCTAGTTAATACAATGAACATATGCTTTATGCAAATACAAGCACCCCCACACAAATATAGCCTTAGGTAGCTATACAGTTCCACAATATTCTGGTCTTTATTCATTCAGGATAGGTCAGGAGTCTCATCAAACAACAGCTTTTCACCTCTGAAATGTTACAGGTATGATTATAATCAGCAAGACCCACTTAGACAACCTCTCCCACTTGGGTTGATGCTGCTGCTTCCCAGAGCTCCCTTTCAACAAATATGGAATAATATATGGGCGGCACAATGGCTCAGTGGTTAGTACTGCTGCCTCACAGCACCAGAGACCCAGGTTCGATTCCAACCTCAGGTGACTGTGGAGTTTGCACATTCTCCCCACGTATGCGTGGGTTTCCTCTGGGTGCACCAGTTTCCTCCAACAGTCTAAAGGTGGATTGACCATGCTAAATTGCCTTTAGTGTTCAGGGATGTGTAGATTAGGTGGGTTATAGGGGATGAGTCTGGGTGGAATGTTCTGAGGGTTGTCTGTTTCCACATTGTAGGGATTCTATGAATCTATAAAAAAACACCTTGATTTAGCCACTTCTCAGAAGACACCCAGCAGCATCTTCAAGATAAATTTTCAGCTTTCCCAGATTGTAGATGTTTTTAAGTCAACTCACACACTGCTACCAAGAACTCCCTCTCCTTGTCTGCCAAAATAGAAAAATCTGAGCGATTTGCTTCTTCTTATTACAAATTCAGTGTTCCTCTTTCTGTGTCTATCCGCTTTCTCTTTGTATCTGCATCGAGGCTTTCAGCCTCTCGCTCTTCTCTCGTGTCTACAGCTCTCCTGTGTTGTCTGCCAGTTTCACATCATTTGTTTTAACTTCCTCTTTCTTGGTATTGCTTTCAGGTTCAGGGATCCAGGTCGCAAGCTATATTCCTTATTATTCAGGAGAATTGAAATTGATCCCTTCTGAACTATTCAAATTCTAGAAACAAAAAAATTGTCCTTTACAAACATTCTTGAACACAATTACAGTCAGCTGTATTTTAGGTTGTCACCTTTTACATTGCTTTGCTTTAGTGTTGGATATTAAATGGTTTTCTTATTTAGCATCATGAGTTTTGTTTTTATGTAGCTTTGTACCAGGCTGACATAGGGCTGCATGACCTGATCAGTGCCTTTATGGAGCTGCCCTCTGTCACTCCCAACTTTCTACCTTGCTGCCAACCCCCTGGTTTACAGTCGTGACCACTCTGTTACTGTCAACCTTCTGGGCTTGCTGCATTCCTTCCCTGAATCCATGCTGTGAGGGCAGACTCTGGAGCTGAGCTGTGAGGGGCAGGAACAGCAAATTTAAATTTCTAAACTTAGCTCGTGTGTGTGGAGTTGCTCAACTATTCTTTGGCACACCTACCAATTATGGCAGAGGCCCATAGATATCAGGGAGGAGAATTTGGCAGTATCAGCTGTCTGCAGTTTTTGGGCCCAGGCTGTTGACAAATGGTCTGTCTGGCTTTATTCCTTTTTGATTTTATTGGTCCTTGATTCATAGAACTGGTGGCCTGCTGGGCCATTTTAGGCATCAGTTAATGATCAAGCTTATTGTGGTGCATCTGGAGTAACAAGTAACGAAGCAGAGAAGGACATCGGATTTCCTTATCTGAAGGATATCAGTGAAGAATTCAATACTGTCGTGGTCACCATCACTGAGTCTAGCTCCTAGCTTCAATTAATATATCTGCAGTTAACTTCCACCAGATGCTTTGATAAGATTTGACCCAATGTCTCCAATGCATTAATCTGGTCCTCTGTATTCTTCTCCGGCAACCTTCCCAATGCACCACTGATCCCATATCAAACACAATAAATACATCCTTCTAGTTTCTCCTTCATGTATTCAGCCAGAATCTGTTCTTTTCTTCTGAAAAATAGCAGAACAATTCAGTCACCACCTTTAACTTCATGGTTCGTCACTTGCCATTACTGTAAAGCCGAAGATCTGACACAGTCTCAATGTCAGAGCATGGCAAGAGCAATAGCAGGCATCCTGAAAAATAAAACGCCAACTTGATGAAGTACAACAATAGCAGTACAAGTGCATTAGAAAGCAGAATCTGCATACAATACAAAAATAAGTGTTCCCAGATCACATCAGATCAAAGCTCTGTAATCCTGGTATATTCATAGTTGGTCATAAGCAACGAAACAACTAACCATAGGGGACAGCTCAAAAACATCCCCAACATCAATGATAGTGCAGCTGAGGGTTGGTGCAAAAAAGACTAAAGCATTTGGAACCTTTTTCAGACAGAAGCACTTAGTAGACAATTTACCTTGGTCTCACTGTGGTTGCCACTGTTACAGCTTTAAGTTTTCAGACAATTTAACTCACTCAATGTGAAATGAAGAAACAACTGAAGACACTGGGCACAGCTAAGGCTATGGCTGTTGACAACACTGCCACAAAGATACCAAAAACTTGTACTCCAGAACCAGCTGCACCTTTCAAACTTGTGGCTTCTACCACCGAGAACACGAGCAGTAGCAACTGAAATGTCATCAGCTGCAAATCCTCCTCTAGTTCACAATTCATGCTGACTTGGAACTATATTGCCAAGCTTTCACTGTCACTGGGTCAAAATTCTGGAACTCCTATATTTCTTAATTTGTTTCCTAGATCCTTTGATGTCTTTACCATAGCAAGTCTATCTCATGATATGAAGAATTGCGGATTCCCATCCAGCTCTGATTTCTCATATGCTCTTAAAATAAATAATGTATTATCAGACTTTTAACATGCTCGCAGTAAACCCAGAGTTCCACTTACAACGCAGCATCAATGAAACACTAATTAAGATATAACCCATCTTTGGTAAGCTCAAAGACCTGATGCAAGTCCTATTTGTGAAGTCTTGCATTCTAGCTACAATCATGTCACATAAGATCATTCAAACATCTCTGTAATTGAAAATAATTTATTTGAGCATAATCTGAATAGGGTCAGACCATCAAGTTAGTGACAGCACTGATCATTTATAAGGCACTTTACATTACATACCCTGGCAGAGGATAAATATATTAGTAAATAAATATATTAAGAACATATTACCATAATGAAATGTCTTTCTATACAAATATAATACAACACTTCAAAAAGTTTTGCTCTTAATTCAAAGTACCCAAAATATACTGAGGAACCTTGGTAAATACAAGGTCCCATAAGGCTACATTTGTCTTTAAGTGCTCCTACTATCTGACAGTCAGGGTTGAGTCACAAGTGCTGGGAGTCTGCTATACCTTGGGCTATTTTGGAAGACAAAGACAACTTGGAATAGACCCATCAATAAGCCCTTCAATTCTCCAATCAAATGGAAGGCATACAGATACCCCCATGTCTCTGGTGAAGTAGATAGTTGGCAATGAATAATAAGCACCAATACCATGAAGAGCTGCTTCTGAAGATTCATGTTCCTGGACTGAGTATTCCAAACTTTGAAATAATTTGTTCTTTGTCATGTTGATCCATCTTCCATTAAACTTTATTGTGCCATCTGAACACCTCATCTCACCAGCTACATGGCATGTTGACACTTCCTGCATTACTCTACCGGCTACTTGGTTTCTTCATCCTCACCCTGTTATCCCACCAGCTTTAGTGTTTCTTCACACCTACGCCCTTCGTCCTATTGGCTTCACCATTTCTTCACTCCTGTATCCTTTGTCCTGCCAGCTATAATGCTTCTTCAGGCTTGCTTTCTGTGTCCAGTTAGCTACACAGCTTCTTCACAGATCTCTTCCACATTTGATTCTGAACCTACTTGGATAGAAAAACATCATCAGGCATTTTGAAAAACTTTCAGTGCTTTACATGAATTGTTCTGTTCAGCTGAATTGAAAGCTCTATATAACATGGATAATGTATCCTGAATTAAGAGTTGCTGACCTCAATCTCAAAAACAATCTTGTAACAAGAGAGGAAAATTTGCACAGATAAGCAAATATCCTCTTGTTAAAACACAGCAAAGATTGATTCTGCACATTTACACTTAATTTGAACTGGAGCATAATCAGTATGCTGGAACAAAAATGATGAAATTTTGTTCTGCAAATATTTTCTAAAGATGAAGTATGTAATTTCTAGAGAACAAAGAACTATTCATTTCAACAATACAATGTTAGCGTCAAGTATTCCAGATAAGTTGTAACACAGTTCATGTTCAATTCCTAATGCATGATTCATGTATCCATGCAAAATGCACTGCAGTGATCAAGGTTCTAACAAGGCTCCCAAAACCTTCTCAAAGGCAAGCAGAATGGGTAACAAATTCTGGTCTTGCCAGTGATGCACACAGTCACACATTAGGTCCAGAGTAAAGATCCCCAACATAAGACTACTCTGGCTGCAGCACTAGTCATGTTTCCACTTCCTACATTAGATATATTCTTGCTGCAAGGGTGATTTTGTGGTGGGGACCCTTTTCATGTGGAAATGGACCTGTACTGCCAAAACCACCTACACGCAGGAATCTTACAACCAGTCGACTGAAGAGAGTTACTCAACTAGTCTTAGGAATAGAGACTTCTGTGTTCCTCAAAGTTTATGCTCTGTAGCAGACTAGATGTTCACTGCTCTAAAATTGTTGAATATATCTTCAGCCAGCTTGGTTCTAACTTCTGAAACTCCCTACCTAAAAATCTTCACTTTCCAGCTCTCTATCCTCATTTAAAATGTGCCTTAAACCTACCCCTGACCATGTTTTTCATTACCTGCTCTAACCTCATGTGGTTTTCTTGAATTTTGTTGAATAAGTCTTCCATGAAGCACTTTGAGACATGTTAATATGAGTTGCTTTATTAATGTTGTTGTTCATGTGGATCGGTTTGAACTTGGGTCCCGTGGATAAGAAATAATTGTGAGGGGGGTTACTAATTATATTAGATTGATAGCTCAGTGAGGTAATCTTTGATACAAATATTAGGGCACAAATTTATTGTTTTCTGTCTTCATATCCCTGCCAATGCCCCCACCCCCATCCCCAATGATTAATAGGAGAACAGTGCCTGGTCACAGAAGCTCTTCTGTACTTTCCCAAGTGGACATTCATTATGTGAGATTTTTGGAGTCACTGATAATTGCCTATTTCATCATGAAGGGCACAGCAGATATTGTGAAAGTAGCAGCAGTAACCATTATGTCCACCAGTTCTCTGAGGTGAACTACAGCAATGAAATACTCCAGAAGGCAAAAGCTATCTCACCGTGGTCATTAAGTCATACAACATGGAAACAGACCCTTCAGTCCAACCAGTCCATGCCAAACATATTCCCAAACTAAAATAGTCTCACCTGCCTGCTTCTGGCCTATATCCCTTCAAACCTTCCAATTCATGTACTTATCCAAATGTCTTTTGTACGTTGCAACTGTACCCACAACCATCACTTCCTCAGGACATTCATTACACACGTGAACCACCCTCTGTGTAAACAATATGCCTCTAATGTCTTTTTTAAATCTCTCCCCTCTCACCTTAAATTGTGCCCCCTTGTCTTGAAATCCCATGGGAAAAGACAACTATCATTAACTCTATCTCTTATTATCTATCATTAACCCTCATTATGTTATAAACTTCCATAAGGTCACCTCTTACCTCCTATACTCTAGTGAAAATATCCAAGCCTTTCTTTATAACTCAAATCTTCCATATCCAGCAACATCCTGGTAAATGTCTTCTGAACCCTCTCCAGCGGCTTTCTGGTATGTATGCCAACAATGGACTTTTGACTTGGCGTCACACTTAAAATGGCCACTCTACCACATCACTGAACAGTTCCAATGTGCTTTGCAGGAATTAAATACTTTTGAAGAATTGTCCATGCCATACCATAGGAAAGTGTAACAAATGTTAGGGTGCAGCTAATTATTTCTGTCACACACATTTGATGTGAATTGCCTTCACATATTTGATGAGGGGTTTAGTGTGGGGAGGTTAAGCATTTTGCTTTTCAAGGATGTAGTGTCAGCTTAAACTCTTCCCAGATCACCTGAAGCACAAGGCACATCCTGAGGTATGCTCCCTAAAAATCCTATGAGATAATTTTAGATGAGCTACAGAGTAAAATTGCTTCTACATTACCTTGTCCTACATTTCCAAAGCTGATTGAGCAGATTGAGAAATCACTCCTTCCTCATTGGTGTGCCATCAAAGCAGGATTGCCATCAAAGCAGGATTAATTCAATGTCAAGTGGCACTGAAAATGGACAATTCCTTTTGTTCCAATTGGGCCTGTGCCCACAAAGAACCAAGTTTATTCAAACTCATTTTATCTAGTACTCTTACATGAACAGAGTGGTCTATTTTCTGACTGGTACAATAAACCAGCATGCACACAAAGCCCAGAACAGATCATTTGTTTCCCTAGATTCCTTTGGTGTCTTTACCCCAACATGACTCTCATGACATGAAGAATTGCAGATTCCAATCGAGCCCTTATTTCTTGCTCAATCTTAAAATTAATCATTTATTAGACTTTTAACATGCTCACAGTAAACCCAGAGTTCCAGGTACAATGCAGGATCAATGAACCACTAATTAAGACGTAACCAATCTTTTGTCAGCTCAGAAATCTGACGCCAGAATGGATGATGATTGGTTCATGGCTGTGATTCAGTTTAATGCAAGTTGAAAATTGTAATCTATACTCCTAATACCATTTTAATGCCTTTTGAAATCTTAGTATGTTCTCAAGGTTTTAAAATGGAGGCAAGCAGCATAAATTGAGAAAGTAAGATCACAAAATAATTAACTGTACAATATATGACATATTAAATACATTAAAATGACAAAACATCCCTCCCTTACAAAGACTTGAAATGAAGCTCTGTTTTTACACTAGAAAGATGTTGCTTTCTAAGCATAATATCCACCTGACTTCTGCAGGAATCTCTCCCTCAGGCTTCTCACTGAAATATGTTCTGAATTCCACTGCCATTGTTCCAATCTCCAAGCAAACTAACTATCCACTCCATTTATCTCCTTAGCAACAGTCAGACATCAAACCAATTTGTTTGCAATCTTGGTGTCATATTGCACCCCAAAATGAACATCTGACCAAATTTTTGCATCAGTACTATGATCACCCATTTCTACATTCAACAGAACCAGACGGACTGCTATAAGACCATAAGATGCAAGAGTAGAAGTAGGCCATTCAGCCCATCAAGTACGCTCCACCATTCAATAAAATTATTGCTGATCCTCAACTCCACTTTCCTACCTTTTCCCCATAACCCTCTTACTGATTAAACAGGTGTCTCTCTCAGCCTTGAATCTGAACATTCATCGATACCCGTTGTTACCCGATGATTCCCTGCACTCTTGGTTGGTCTCCCACATTCTATGCTTTGCAAAGTTGAAGTCATTCTAAACTCTGCTGCCCAGGTCCTAAATCAAATAAATTCCCATTTACCCCTATTGCATTAGTGCTCACTGACTGACACTGGTTCTTGGCAAACGATATCTCGATATTAAGATTCTCATCCTTGGTTTCAAATTCCTTCAAGATCTGGCCCCTTACATATCATGTGATCTCATTCAGCCCACAATCTTCAAAGGGCTCACAGAATTCTGTTCTTTTAATCATCATGCCATTTATGGCCGTGCTGTCTTCTGCTAAGGCATGAGGTTCTGGAATTCCCTCCCACTACGAGGTTCTGTGCTGGGGTAACACCTTAGGTGCTGTCACTTGTCGTTGTTGAAAGGGACAAAAATCCAAACACAAATGATGCATTTCTCTAATCAATGCCAGAAGACAGAGAGTGGTGGAAGGGTGCTTTTTGGAAGGGAAATCAGTAACTTCTGCAGGGATCAGTGCTGGGCCCTTTGTTGTTTGTAAAATATATAACTGATCTGGAGAGAAATGTAGGTGGTCTGATTAGTAGGTTTGCCGATGACACCATAATTGGTAGAGTTGCAGATAGTGTGGAGGATTGTCAAAGGATACAGCAGGATATAGATCGATTGCAGATTTCGGCAACAAAATGGCAGGTGGAGTTTAATCTGGACAAATATATGGTGATGCATTTTGGAAGATCAAATTCAGGTGCAAATTATGCAATAAATGGCAGAACCCTTAGGAGCAAAGATATAGAGGGATCTAGGCATCCAGGGCCAAAGATCCATGAAAGTGGCAACACTGGTAGATAAGGGTCGTGAAGGCATACAGCACGCTTACCTTCATCAGCCAGAGAATCGAATATAAAAGTTGGCAAGTTATGTTACAGCTGTACAAAACTTTAGTTAGGCCACGTTTGGAATATTGTGTGTAGCTCTGGTTGCCACAATACCAGAAGGATGTGGATGCTTTAGAGAGGGTGCAGAGAAGGTTTACCAGGATATTGCTTAGTCTGGAGTTATGTGGAGAAGTTGAATAAACTGAGATTGTTTTCAATGGAAAGATGGAGACTGAGGGGCGACCTGATAGAGGTCTACAAGATTATGAGAGGCACAGATAAGGTTGATAGTCAGAGAGGCTTTTTCCCCACAGTGGAATGTTCAACTACAAGAGGGCACAAGTTCAAGGTAAGAGGGCAGAAGTTGAAGAGAGAAGTGCAGGAGAAAGTTTTTCACACAGAGGGTGGTGGATGTCTGGAACGCACTGCCAGTGAAGCTGGTGGAAGCAGGCATGTTAGCAATGTTTAAGGCGTATCTTGATAGACACGTGGAAGGGAGGCAAACAGAAGGATAGAAACTGCGTATGGGCAATACGTAGCAGGTCTAAATAAGGAACAGGAATTGGCGCAGGCTTAGTGAGCCTAACGGCCTGTTCCAGTGCTGTATTGAATTGTATTAAAAATGCATAGTCAATCACTGACAATACTTACGATGTTTATTCGGTTTGCTAAAATCTCCCCCAGCCACTCAATGCATTTAGCACCTTGGGCTCCCTTATTACACTTTCCTTGGACTCTTCATACCACATGGAAACTACTGCACTACTCCTTTACAAAACAGCCTCATTACTGTGGTTCACTACCCTTCTAAAGCTGTTTCCAGAAAAAAAAACTACAAGCTGAAAATGTCATACAGACAATAATCTATTTTTGGCAAATCAAAAATATTTCTGTCTTTCTTCTAAAGGAATACATGCACTCTTATCTACCTGGATTGTTAGGGATTGTCTGGCAGTGGAAGGACTCGTCTTGTAATTGTACTCCATCACGATATCCTTCAGTATAGGTCTCTTGAAATGTGTGTCGTGGCTCATTGTTGTTCATGTACTGCTCTTCTGCCAGCTGTGGCTCAGAACCAACCTGACACAGTCGTTGCTGACAGAGGGAGCTAGGACACTCACAAAATGGGAAACTCCATTCATTAGAGGCTCCATTGTTAAGGATTAAAGGGATTGGCACCGATGGCTGAACATTTGGAAGATGGCACTGCCTCCCATGGTTCCCATAATGAATATGTACTCTACAGTCCTCCAGAGTATCACAGTCCTGATGGAAGTAAACTATTGGCTGATCCATTTGGAAATTTCTTTTCCTCCTCCTTCGCCTCCTCCTGTTGCTGCTCCGATTGGATTTATTTTCTGAAGGCACTTGATCTGGTTTGGCACAAACTACCTCACTCTTTCTCTTTTTCCCATCCATAGTTTGCAGGGATGTTTCAGGAAGGCAAAGTCCAGGGGAAAGTAATAGGTGCTGCCCCATGTAGGGGCACTGGACAGAATGAGCAGTGTACTGGGATTGGCAGCTGAACTCTGCCTCAGGCTGGCAGTGTACATTATCATTCATGAACTCCTCCAACTGTTTGTTTTCCCGCTTCTCTGCTGAGCTCCAGCCAGGGTTCATACATTGCGCTCCTTCAGGACTTGGGTCAGCATCGCCATAGTGATGGTGCCGATGATGGTGGTAGTGAGTGTGGCTAAACGCATGGTCTTCCAGAGGACCATTAACTGAGTCCATGGACCTGGGTCTCTGTACTTCAAAGGATGAACTCTTCATAGTTTCCCCACCCACCCCACAGTATACAAGGGGATCATACTCACTGCTCAGAGAGCTGCGGAAAGTTGATTGGCTCCCATAAGTACACTGGTTGCTGATGTCTGTGCAGTCCAGTGTTGAATCACTGGAGGAGCAGTGGCAAGGACCTGAGCTGGAATCACTACCTGGGCTGTCTGCCAGGTATCCACTTTTCACTGAACAGTTAATACCAAAACTGTCCCCTGAGAAGCTGTGGTTGTCATGGTTGCTGGTGATCTGCGAATGATCAGGAGTACAGTTAGGCTTCGAATGATGTGAAGATGGTGGGGCATTGCATGCTGAAAGTTGCTGCGGCCAGCAGGGAGGTTTATGCAGACATCGGTGATGAAGAACTTGGTCCGGCCATGGTGGGCCTTTTCGTACAGTAATGGGTCTCTGGTGTCTGTAGAAAACTCTTTGGCCATCAGCATGACGATAGTTGCACCTATGTGAGTTTGAAGATTGTTGCGGCCTTGAGGCCACATATCTCACGGCATTAAATCCTGCACGATAGACTTCTGGAGTAACAAAGTAATGGTCAGGGGGAGCAATTTGCATTCCTGGAGTTCTGGGATTGTTCAAGCGAGGAGGCCTGGAAGGAATGGCAGTGTTTGGCCTGTGAAGGTGTGCATGGCCAGGGTAATGCCTCAGCAAATGGATATGCTGATTTAGTTGAGCAGCTGGATTGGCTCGATTGTGAGCTTCCTGTTGTGGAATTGAAGAATTACCTTCTGAAAATAAAATGGAATAATGAACCATTAGCAACTATTGAGGCCAAATATTTCCTTTGATCTTCAATTACATTCCTAAAGCTCATGGGCCATTACAGCTTTATGGCAGAATGGGACTTGTCTATAAAACAATGAGTACAAGGTAGGCCATTGAGTACATGTGAACTTAGACACAGCTCACAATTTTCATTACAACTGGACCTGGAACACATTCTACCCCTGCATGTGCTTGCAGATGATTTACTTTGGCATCTCAAAGATTGGGCTGTGCAACAAACCAAAGCTGTAAAACTGGACTTGTTTAGCATTTATTCATTTGTAATTTTAATCACAATCCACCAGCAGCAACAGCAGAGGTTTGAACGTTGCCACTTTTACTCCAAATTCATTCTAGCTTTATATGAGAGTGAAGTAAATGTGAACATTGACCACAGCATTAGACAGTGCTGTTGAAGACTGAGAGGAAAGCAATTTTTACTCAGTTCAATTGTTTGAAAATTGCCCACATGATTTCAGATATGTTCTGATATCACTTCAGCTAGTAAGGTGAAAATCACACTTGCTGTCTCAGTACAGCTCAGAATGAAACAGGTACTACTTATATTAGGTCTACCAAAGTCAGTGCTTTCAGAGACACAGACACTGTTTCATGTAAATTACAATTTACATCATACTGTTTTATTCCAGCCATTTCTGCCCTTACCATTTACCAAACCCACAGCAACATCTGTTTCCCTCAAAAATGCCTAAACTAAACTCTGAACTTCCACCTACCAATAATGTTGTACATGCAGAGAGGGCAGGTGCGATGCTGAAGAAGCCAGGGATCCACACATTCCTTGTGAAATTCATGGAAACAAGAAATTATCCGTAGATCCTGTAAAGGTCAATCAACCATAGGATAAGCAATACATTCTAGTGAACACAAGGCACATGGACAGTGAGAGTCAACTATTTAACAGAGCAGTGCGGACTGTGAGTGAGATTCTTTTACCAAACATCCTGGATCAGCTTCAGGAAGGCTGGAGCATCATGCAACAGGTGATATTAAAAAAAAAATCAGAGGAATTTAATGACCAAAGGTTTATTATAGCTTTAACTCAAGACCAGAAAGATCAAAATCTCCTTGCTCTCTGGTAGGCAAACTAGGAAGGCAAGCTAGAAAACTGTTCTTTCTTCTCATACCAGAATTCAAACTAGTAATCTGATCCTTTCTAGATGGTAGAAGTTTGCACATTGACAATCCAGAACTCACTATGTTTCGATATATTGTACAAATAAATTTTAAATACAAATACATGGTAACATAAACAAGAATCAAAAATCTAATTGGGGAAAAAACATTCACTGAAAGATAGCAGGATGAGAAATTAAGCCAATTTATGACAATGAAGATTTCTGTTATTCAGCCTTTCCAGTTCAATCTACGATGGATTCTTCTCACCTGCCCATCAGCAAACTCCTCCAGGCAGATAGCACAGACTGGCTCTGAAACATTGCTACTCTGTGTATCCAAGCTGTTCTGATGCTCGTGACTCTGAGACTGACGCCGTGATTGATAACGTCTGGTGGCGAGTTGGCTAATCGCATTGATAGTCTGCTGCTGCAAGGAATTCTGTTGAAAAAGGATGACATTGAGAATAGACTAGAAAGAGACCATTTGGTCCAGCCAGTCTACACTGAACCTCCAAAGAGCACCCCAACCTATCATTTGAGAAGTTGGAACAGTTCTTTCCTGAATAGTTGAATAGCACAACACAATTGAATAGCCAGGCTGCAACACCATACTCCTTGGACTCATGGGTTTCTTGGATTATCATCAGCAAGAGTCATTCATTTATAATAGCAATAAATTATTCAGAGTTATCACCTTTCCTATATTATACAGGCCCTACAGCTTTCAAAGGTGTTTATTTACACATGAGAATGTGGGAGATTGAGGGCTGGGAAAGATCATCATACATTTAGAGAGTCAAGACTGGGACACAGGTGTGCAAAGCTTTCAGTAACTATGAGGAATTTTATTGAATCTATCAGGGCTGGAAGAATTAGCTGCAACAAATTGCCTTTATAAGCAGTACAGCCTTTAATAAAGAAAATGAGTCATTTGCTTTTGAGTGAGTGATTTTGCTGTAGGAGAGACATTCTAATGCCACTTGATGTAACCTAGCAAGGGATGACTAACTACGTTGATGGTACAACAGATATGCCCAACTTTGCATCCTTTGGATATAACAGATGAAAGAGGATGAGAGATTTCCAGATAAATTTAGCTGCAGGATCACACTGAAGCTAGGTGACAATTTGAGTAGAGGAGCAGTTGAGTTGGAAGAAGAGGACATGGGGGATTTTATGCTAGAGAGGAGAGGGAGGGAGTGAGAAGAGGGGGAAGGGGTGATGGCGAGGGAGGGTGTTGGGGAAGGGAGCTGGGGAGCAAGGACAGGGAAAGGGGGCTGGGGGGTGAGTGGGAGGGGAAGGGGAAAGGGATGGGCCGGGGGGGGGGGGGGGGGCAGGGGGGGATGGGGGAGAGGGGAGAGGGCCTGGGAAACATGACAAACTTGCTGAGGGTCCAAACCGAATAGGGGAAAAGAAAATCTATGACTGACCTCATCTTCCCACGAGATATAAGCAGTCTTTTAGTTTTAACTTTGGCTTCAACAATCTGTTCTCTTCACTACAGCTCCAGTTTACCTTCAGTTACTATAGGGATGACATGCTTATGTCATCAAGTAAGTGCAGAATGAGTAGGTTGTACATTAGGGACGTGTTCCAGTCACAACACATCTGCATCCTTTACCCAAAACCACTTTTCTCTTCCACTCCTGGGTCAGTTCAATCTGTTCCTCTTGCCAGTTTGCATAATTCCCTTTTAACCTTTCCATTAGCTGTTCACACCCAGTGCCTCATCATATGCTTTATTCATACCACACTTCCTTTTTCCGTTCTGAATATCATTTTGACCGTCTCTCATTCTCTACCTGAGCATACTAAAAACCATTCAATTTATTTTTCTATGCATGTGGTTGATTCCATTTCCATTCCCTTGCTCTGTTCCTTTTTAAATGCTCATCATCTGTTGTGTCTTTTGGTTCCGAGGAAGTCTTAAAGCATTGAATTGAAAAGATCCCGTAAAGCACCTCGTGCTTTAATCTGAAACTAAGAGGAGCATCTCCTTCTTGGTCAAGTTATCACTTCCAATTCCCCAAGACCTTATTCTTCGTGGCTGGCGACTTTAACCAGTCCAACCTCTAGATGGTGCTGCGAAAATACTACCAACACGGCTCCTGTCCCACGAGAGGACCGAACATCCTGGACTACTGCTACACAACCAAAGACGCCTACCACTCCATTCCCCATCCACACTTCAGAAAATCAGATCACAGCGCTGTGTTCCTCCTCCCAGTTTATATGCTGAAACTGTAACGGGAGGATCCTTCACAGAAAGTAATACAGTGCTGGGCTAGGGCAGTGGAAGAGCTTCTCCAGGACTGGTTGGAATCGGTGGACTGGACCCGTATTCAAGTACTCAGCAGAAAGCCGAGACCAGTACGTCACCACTGTCACGGGCTTCATTAGCAAGTGCGTGGAGGACTGTGTGCCAAAGATGTCAATCAGAGTGTTTCCCAACCAGAGACTTCGGATGAACCAGAAATCCAATGCCTATTGAAGATAAGGCGTGCAGCATTCCAGTCAGAAGACCCAGCCCTATACAGAAAATCCAGATATGACTCTGCAAAGCCAGCAGAGATGCCAAGAGGTAGTTCCAGACCAAGTTAGAGGCCCAAACCTACCATATGGACACCCGCCACCTGTGGCAAGGCCTAAACAACATAACAGGATATAAAATGAAGCAGAGCAAGATAGCGGACGAAAACACATCCCTCCCTGATGAGTTCAATGCTTTCTTTGCTTGCTTTGAGCAGAATGCCAGGGGCACGGTGTCACCTGTCCCGACAGCCCCAAATGCACCTGTTCCCTCTGTCACCACAGCAGACATCAGATCAGTCTTCCCGGGAGTCAACCCGAGGAAAGCGACAGAGTCCCTGGCCGTGCACTTAAATCCTGTGCGGACCTGCTGGCGGAGGTATTCAGTGACATCTTCAACCTGTCCCTCCTACAAGCCAAAGTCCCTACCTGGTTCAAGACCACCATCATCCCAGGACCAAAGAAAGCACATGCAATGTGCCTTAATGACTACCGCCCAGTGGCTCTGACTTTCATTATCATCAAGTGCTTTCAGAGGCTGCCAATGTAACAGGTCCAGAATGGACGCCATTTCTCTAGCCCTGCACTCATCCCTGGAACATGTGGACAACAAGGACACCTATGTCAGACCCCTGCTCATTTACTACAGCTCCGCTTTCAACACCATAATTCCCTCCAGACTGATCTCAAAACTCTGAGACCTAGGTCTGGGCTCCACCCTCTGCAAGTAAACCCTCAGCTTCCTGACCCACAGACCGCAATCAGTGAAGATAGACAACTGCATCTCCTCCACGATAATCCTCAATATTGGAACCCTCCCCAAGGATGCATTCCAGCCCCTGCTCTACTCCCTGTACACCCACGACTGTGTAGACAAACTCTGAACAAATGTCATCTACATGTTTGCTGAGGACACCACTGTGGTAGGATGCATAACAAATAACAATGAGTCAGAATACAGAAAGGAGATAGAGGGCTTGGTGTTGTGGTCCAATGATAACTACCTCTCTCTCAATGTCAGTAACTGACTTCAGGAAGAAAGGAGGAGAACACGCCTCTATCTACATCAACAGAGAGGGGGTTGGAGCATCAGGTTCCTCGGAGTGACAATAACTGACATCCTGTCCTGGACTTCGCATGCAGATGCAACGGTCAAGAAGGCACAACAACACCTCTTCTTCCTCAGGTGGCTTAGGAAATTTGACATGTCCATAAGGTCCCTCACCAACTTCTACAGATGCAGCATAGAAAGCATACTGTCTGGGTGCATAACGGCCTGGTATGGCAACTGCTCTGCTCAGGAACATGAGAAACTACATAAGGTTGTGTGCACAGTCCAGACCATCATGGAATCCAACCTCCCATCCATGGACTCCATTTACACTTCTCATTGCTGCAGAAAGACTGCCAACATCATCAAAGACCCGTTGCACCCCGGCAATGCTCTCTTCTAACCTCTTCAGTAAGGCAGAAGATACAGAAGCTTGAATACATGTGCCAACAGATTCAAGAACAGCTTCTTCCCTGCTGTTATTAGACTAACGAATGGACTCTCTAAATTCAAATAATGTTAAATCTTGCTTTGTGCACCTCCTGTGCCTGTAACCTGTGTGCCTTACTTTATCTAAGCACTCTACGCTCTGTATGTCCTTGCTCAATATGATCTGCCTGTACTGCTGGCAAGACAAAGTTTTTCACTGTACTGAGGTACACGTGACTACAATAAATCAAATCAAATCAGAGTATGAACTATTTACAGTGTGTACCAAAGCTTATAGAAAAAAAATATAGGTTTTTACAGCTTTCCAAACCCGATGGCATTGGTCTTGGACAAACATGAAACTGAAGCCCAGAGCTGTTAGTACAGTAAGCACTGCTCATAGCCCAGAGATTCTGTAATTCTGTAATAATTCTGTAATTCTGTAACTGTCTCTATCATACCTTACTCTCAAACAGAATCAAATTTTAATTTTGAATACCAAGCAGTCGTCGAGTCTGGAGAGTTTGCAGCCACATTGTAAGCAGTTAAACAACTCTTAGGCTGACAGATTTGTATTTTGTCTCCCTTCAGAAAACACAAGGGATCGGTATATACCGCAGGGCAAGAGTTATAGCTGGGGGAAAGGCAATTATGAGGCGATGAGGCAAGATTTAGGATGCATAGGATGGAGAAGGAAACTGCAGGGGCTGGGCACAATTGAAATATGGAGCTTGTTCAAGGAACAGCTACTGCGTGTCCTTGAGAAGTATGTACCTGTCAGGCAGGGAGGAAGTGGTCGAGCGAGGAAACCGTGGTTTACTAAAGAAGTTGAATCTCTTGTCAAGAGGAAGAAGGAGACTTATGTAGAGATGAGGCGTGAAGGCTCAGTTAGGGCGCTTGAGAGTTACAAGTTAGCCAGGAAGGACCTAAAGAGAGAGCTAAGAAGAGCCAGGAGGGGACATGAGAAGTCTTTAGCAGGTAGGATCAAGGAAAACCCTAAAGCTTTCTGGTATGTCAGGAATAAAAGAATGACTAGAGTCAGATTAGGGCCAGTCAAGGACAGTAGTGGGAAGTTGTGCGTGGAGTCCGAAGAGATAGGAGAGGTGCTAAATGAATATTTTTCGTCAGTATTCACACAGGAAAAAGACAATGTAGTCGAGGAGAATACTGAGATACAGTCTATTAGACTAGACGGGATTGAGGTTCATAAGGAGGAGGTGTTAGCAATTCTGGAAGGTGTGAAAATAGACAAGTCCCCTGGGCCGGATGGGATTTATCCTAGGATTCTCTGGGAAGCTAGGGAGGAGATTGCAGAGCCTTTGGCTTTGATCTTTATGCCGTCATTGTCTACAGGAATAGTGCCAGAAGACTGGAGGATAGCAAATGTTGTCCCCTTGTTCAAGAAGGGGAGTAGAGACAACCCTGGTAATTATAGACCAGAGGTGCCTTACTTCGGTTGTGGGTAAAGTGTTGGAAAGGATTATAAGAGATAGGATTTATAATCATCTAGAAAGGAATAATTTGATTAGGGATAGTCAACACGGTTTTGTGAAGGGTAGGTCGTGCCTCACAAACCTTATTGAGTTCTTCGAGAAGGTGACCAAACAGGTGGATGAGGGTAAAGCGGTTGATGTGGTGTATTTGGATTTCAGTAAAGCGTTTGATAAGGTTCCCCATGGTAGGCTATTGCAGAAAATACGGAGGCATGGGATTGAGGGTGATTTAGCGGTTTGGATCAGAAAT